GTTCTCAGCATTTAAATCTCCCATTTTCGAATTTAATGAATTTGAGCTGCGCCTTAAATCCGCTAAAAACCGGTTTTAGTTAAGCACCGGCTTAAATCTGGCATTTGCCATTTTCTGTTGTGCGCACATGCCTCGTAAAATTCCAAAACAGAGAGAGGGGAATTGAATTTTGTAGATCCAGAAAAATATCTGTTGGATGCCTGCGTAGAGAATGGCAGCTGGTGGGGTCTTAAATGTAAGACATGTGGCCACAGCGCTCGGCCCCCTAGCCTGTCTTAGCCGCAGCGCTCGGCCCAGAAAGTGTCATAATTTAACCTAACCCGTGGCCGCAGCCCTCGTCCCCCTAGCCTGTCCTAGCCGCAGTGCTTGGCCCAAAAAGTGTCTTAACCTAAGCTAACCCTAAATAAATACTAATTTAATTATTTTTCTGGATCTACAAAATTCAATTACCCTCTCTCTGTTTTGGATTGTTACAGGGCATTTGCGCACAACAGAAAATGGCAAATACCCTTGAATTTTGAAACATTGAACACAATTTTAAGTGAAATCAACCAGCCGCCGCTCAAATTCTTCAAATTCGGCCCCAGGTTGTGTTAAAACTTTATCAAGCTTATTCCTATTATATAGTTATTATTATGCCTGGTAAACCGTGAATAGCTTCAGGTTTAGGTCAGACCTACTGAATATCTCCAGACCTACTGAATATATCTAGGTTCATATCAGACTTGCTGAGTATCTCCAGGTTCAGATTAGAACTGCTTAATATCTCCAGGTTCAAATTAGGCCTGGTAAACCGTGAATAGCTCTAGGTTTAGGTTCGACCTGCTGAATTTCTTAGGTTAAAATTGAGACAGCTGAATATCTCAAGGTTCAGATTAGATCTACTGAATGGGAAGTGAAATGGAAGATATATCTTATCTTCTACCGTCCCATCCTTATTCTACTTGAGTGAACTTGGCTTCCTTCATCCTATTCTCTGTATTTAAATCTCCAGATTGTGTTACAACCTTGTCCTATTTTCCTCTCTTCTCATACATTCATTCTAATAATCTGAAATAAACACAGTTTTATCTCTCTACCTTCAAAAATATTTTTAAAGAAGATCAATATGAGCAGGCGTAGAAAATATTATATTTTAGGAGGAGATCAATATGAGCAGGCGTAGAAAATATTATATTTTTAAAGAGAGGAGATCAATATGAGCAGGCGTAGAAAATATTATATTTTTAAAGAAGATCAATATGAGCAGGCGTAGAAAATATTATATTTCAGAAGGAGATCGTATTAAATCACAGTTTTTAAACAAAGGAATTGAGTCTTTGCCACAAACTCTGCTTTTCTAATCCCTATATCTTTAGATTCCAATGTCGTAGACCTTAGATATTTCAAACTATGAATTCTGTTAGATCAAATCATACAAGTTTGAAATATCAAAGATTTACGACAAATTGGGTTCCAAGGATATAGGGATTATAAATTCAGAGTTTGTGGCAAAGAGTCTATTCCTTTAACAACTATTGCTCCAGGATGCTAGAATGTTTACTTATTTTATCAAACAAAATAATATGATTAATATGTTTAAGTTTTTATAGATGTCATGAAGTCCTTAAAATCTTAATATAATGCAACATTTTTTGTGGGAAGCTGGTACAATTATAAAATATATTTAGAAATATATAAATATGTCAACATCATAAAATAAATTAAACTGGATTTCATAAATTAATTATTATGCCAATTATTATTTTGAAAGATGACTAATAAGTAGAAGAGAGTATACATTTTTAATTAGAGTCAGACATAGTTTTTATCTGTTTCTTTTAAACATTTAAGGTTTTATGACTTCCAGGAGACTCATAAAAATCTACAAATTCTTACAATAAGAACCAGAAAACTGTCGAGTAGGAAGACGACATTAAAGCAATACATAAGGACATTTGATGTCGTTACACAGCAACTAGTTTAAATTATTAAACTTCAGATTTTATGGAGTCTTCTGAAAGCCTAGAAATCTTGAATGTTTTTTTTGAAAAAACGGGTTAAAACGATCTGCCCAAATCCAGTTTTTATATCGAATACGTGAACTAGAACTTTTAGCATAGACTAGAACTTAATACTGAAGCACTGGAAGCTCTTTTTAAAAAATCTTAAACTTTTTAAAAGAAAATTTAAAGATTTTATTCATTTTAAGTATTATCAATAAATTAATGGCGTGTTTCCATTTGATAAAAATGTTTTGGTGCTTGATGACTTAAATTGGATCAAATTTTCAGAGTTTTGAAGGACTACTCATAAAATAGAAACATTTTTCGTTCTTTATCATCCAACCTTTTCTTGATAACCAGCCTATTCACAAACCCATCTTAAAATACAACCTACTCTAACCCCTTCATCACGATGACTCCTTAACTTTAGAAAAAAAAGTTCTTCCATCAAACGATTCTAATTGAAGAAAACAGAAGTCAAAGAAAGCTAATTACAGTTGGGGTTGGAGTTTCTCCAGACCCTGTCATTCAACACTCAAGGTACATAGAAGAGTAGGAAGCTCAAGAACCGTCACAGGATGGGTAAATCTTGATTACATCTTGGATTGAGTTTCTGCACATTGGAAACAACCCTCCTCCTCTCCCTTTCCACTGCTGCAGCGCACACTAAAATAAAGAAATAATAAAAAGATTTGAAAGGGAACCCCCAGACCGCCCTAAAGGTGCAGCGTATCTCCATGCGGCCTAGAGTGCGCAATTTCTAACACCCATGCACTAGTGATACATCCCGGTGGTAGGTAGCGTTTATCACATGGATCCGGATCCTAGTTACGTCCTAAAAAAGTGATACAGATCCTTTTATGTTTTCAAAAATGGATCTGAATTCTGGTTACGCCATAGAAAAAATAATCTGGATCCTGCATAGAAAAATGAATCTGGATCCAGGTTAGGTCCTAAAAAAATGAATCTGGATCCTGGTTAGGTCTTAGAAAAATGAATCTGGATCCTGGTTAGGTCCTAGAAAAATGAATCTGGATCCTGGTTAGGTCCTAGAAAAATGAATCTGGATCCTGGTTAGGTCCTAGAAAAACTAATCTGGATCCTGGTTAGGTCCTAGAAAAATTAATCTGGATCCTGGTTAGGTCCTAGAAAAATTAATCTGGATCCTGGTTAGGTCCTAGAAAAATTAATTTGGATTCTGGTTAGGTCCTAGAAAAATTTATCTGGATCCTGGTTTCGTCCTAGAAAATAAATCTGGATCCTGGTTAGGTCCTAGAAAAATGCAGGGTGGCCAAAACTTTTTTGAAAAATCCGTACATTTTCAGAAGAAATCCGTACAATTTTCGAAAACTATCCGTACAATCCGTACAATTTTCGGAAAAAAATCCGTACAATCCGTACATTTTTTTCGAAAAAATCCATACATTTTTTTTAAAATCCGTACAATTTTCGAAAAAATCCGTACAATCAGTACAATTTTCAAAAAAAATCCCTGCAATCCGTACATTTAAGAAAAATAAAACCATTTTTGAAAATATTATTCAACACTGTCTCACCCCC